AGAAAACGTAGAGCGGTTGCGGCTACACCAAAAAATATTGGACAGGCGTTAAATGGCGGTGCCATCGTGCAACTTGACGTTAAGGGTTCGGACACAGTCGAAGGTCAAAATACTCAATCAAAGATAACAGAAGCTGCTCCTAAAGAAACGCCGTCTAAAATGGTAAGGTTGTATAACTTGAGAAATACGTGACTTTCCATTCGTTGTCTCATGTTTTACTGGAAATTGACTTGCGCATCTGTTCTTAGCTACGAAAATTATCCAGAGCTCTGATTCAGGGTAAACAGACGTCAAGAAAATGTAATAGCACTCCTCGAAAGCCGAGAACGCGTCAAACGCCTAATACTGCACGTTTCACCCCAAGCTCTACTCGAAGATCATCAAGAAGACAAAATAACAGAAATAGTGGAACCAAAATAAAAAAAAAAATAACACCACAAGATTTATTAAGGGAGTTGTCGCGAGGTAAGTACACGAATCTCTTTCGCATAATGATTGTCTTTACAAATTTGTTATATTAAACAACGTATTATCAAAAGCTCCGGGATTCGTGCAGAAACCAGTTGAACATGAAATCAAGGACGCAGATGTTATTTCTGACCAGATTGAATCGCAACCGGAAGATAAAATATCTCGACAAGAAGATGATATCAGGGAAAACGAATTGGACACTGAGGTGCAGCGTCGCATGATTCCATATGATAGCGACGATGATTTTTCAAAGGTTTTTGGCGATCAAATAACCGAAACCATTGAATTCACCGGTGAAGTTATTGATGATTTTGATGAGGTCATACCGATTCGATCGTCAGAGTACGCCTTTTTGAGTTTTAATAGGTCTTAGTGTTGTTGTATAACTTATTCGCTGATTTTGTACTATCTTTTCAGAAAAAAATGTGTTGTTGATGAGCATGATTCTCCTGTGGCTGTCGACGAACTTTCATCACGGGTTGATGCAGAACTTGATTTTTGGATGGGAAGAAATTCCGACAAAGCATTAAATGCTCCCTTGGAAGATGCAGCATCTACAAAGAGTTTAGGACCATTTAATAAACTGCTCAGCGAATTAATGAAAGAATCATTAGAAGAATCACAGAATTCGCCGTCAAATAAAATAGTTAAGTTAGATAATGAACTTTTTATTCGCGATCCAATGCAAGATAGGCCGGGAGATGATGAGACCAAAAATGTGAGGAGAACTCTAGTGATAAAGGATCCCGGACAGAGTGACATCATAATAAACGATGTCCGTGATAGCCCTCTCGTAGAATATCAGGAGTATGAAGAAGATGACGTTCAAATGGAGTACGGTGAGGACGAGTTAGAATGTCAATTGGAGTCCGACAGTGAAAAAGAAAATGGACAAACAAACCTAGACGGTGATGAGTTAGAGGGTCAATTGGAGTCTGACAGTGAAAAAGAAAATGAACAAGATGACGTTCAAACGAATTTGGATGAGGGTGAATTAGAATACCAATTGGGATCTGACAGTGAAAAAGAAAGCGAGAAAGATAACATTGTTGAAGTGGTACATCAGTCGGATTCTGATAGCGATACTGATTCTGAACAAAAAAATGATAGTAAGATTGAAGAGTCAGATGATGAAAGTGAAAGTGAACGAGAAAATGATAGCAAGATTGAAGAAGAGTCAGATGGTGAAAGTGGAAATGAACAAGAAAACATCGAAGAAAATTCGTTCGAATTTAATTTAGATGATGGTAATGAGCAAGAAAGTGATGATGATGAAATTGAGATGGACCGTCAACCCGAATTAAGTGAAGAAAACAATGGAATGCAATATCAATGTTTATTGGATAATGAATTCGGAAATATGCTAGTGCCGAGATTGTACACCGGAGCAGAAGTAAAAGACATACAGGGAAGGAGTAAAAAAAGGAGATCGAGGTATACTGTTAACTGAAGCTTTAAAAAGGAATGACATCTCACAAGTTGTTTAATTTCTGTATTTACTTTTGACTGCTGAACCTAAGAGTTTCTAGATCCAAAGGGCAACCACATCTACCATATAATTTAGTCAAAAAAATATTCAGCAATTTTTCAATGAATAAAGTCTCGAGTGATGCTATGCAGTCCATCTTTGAAGGGTACGTACTGCACCTACATAAATGTAAAGGATTCTCCGATTTAAAATACAAGCAAATAATTTATTCTTGGGGATGCAGAACACATTTGTTTCTCGAGCAAGTTGCCGAAGACTTAGCGACATACGCAACACACGGTAAAAGAGAAGTGATTAAGGAAAAGGACGTAATTCTTCTAATGAAAAGGTTTGTTTCATGTGAAGATTCTTATTTAAAATTATCACAAAATTTGATTGAATTATGCGTCCCTACAAAAGGCAAAAGTTAATAACTAATAAGGTAAGTTTCGAATCATTGGCGGAGCGATATTTACCACGCGAGTTGTCCGAGGAAATTTGCCAGGTGGCTAAAGCCGGAAATTCCTTGTTTCCACCGGACAAATCACAGAAAAAGTCGAGAAGGAAGAAGTGAATTGAGGACTTGGTTTTAAATTATTCATGTAATGGTTCGTGGAAAATTCCACACGTTCGGTCCCTTCAACTTTGGTTCCTGCGGGAATTGAATTTACTTAATACTTACCTCCACATATTTAACTGAAGAATTTCCTCATCTTTTCGTGAAAAGGAATATACCATCTTTGTACATAATTAGAGTCTGTGAACTGCAATGTAAATGAATTTCGCAATTGATAGAAGTTGCGTTTATTGCTCCAAAATTGTTTTTAATCATATCAGAATCCCTGTTAATTTATTGGTATAATAAAATTGGAATAAAATAATAGGCGTACACGATCATTTTCGGATCTTGCAGGCCATCATTGTTTCTCTATTGATGTTATATAGTCCTTGTATTGTAAGAATTTTTTAGAAAACTTTACATTTCTCGATTTCGTAAATTCAGCTAGTGCATGTCTACATAAACGATAGTAGTAGTCAACATGGGGTACGGAGTTAGTCTAAATTTCGGAAACCGAGTAGGGTGTAGTCATAGACTGATTGTCCCACTTGAACTATACGATAGAGTGTCATTATTCAAACTGCCAGTGAGCGCAATCAGTGCATCCCGTCTCGCTTTGACATTGCGCGACTTCTTCCTCGCCTCCCGTAATGGACGACCATTCCTTTATAACTTTTTCGATAAATGTTAATAATGAATGGTGTTTTATGTTGGGACTCCAACCTAACCGGCTTCTTGTGTCGTACAGGCACGATTTTCCCAAATGGCATTTTGTTTCCATCTATTGTAACGACAAGGATTCCTCTTGAGAAGATGTCTGTTATATTCTTATGATATCCGATAATGGAATTTGAAAACATACCGCGAACCCCCAAATGTAGCAGGTGGAAACTCCGACGCAATTTCCAGTGAATATTGGGTCAGCTGAGTGACCAAAATGATAGATATTCGAGGCGCTGGAATTGTTAACGTCTAACCCAATCCTTTTCGCGTACAACATTTCGCCAGGCGTTTGAAATACTATTGCTGGTACGTTATACTTTAGCGCAACCAAGGACGCAATCGAACCGCCTATCATTATTATTATTATTATTTCAGCTTCTAATAATTATTTCCCATAACGAAAAAACGACGCTAGACGAAGAAACATTACCTAACGAGTGTCCAGTCAACAAAATTGTAGAATTGGGGAATTCACTCTTTGCCCAATTATATATTTTCTTTTTTAGTAATGCATCGTTCATTCAGAGAAGAAAGAACACGAATCAGTGGATGCAATCCTAGTTCTTGCGCCTAACAGAAATAATGATGACCACCAAAGACATACCAAACTACTTTCAAAATAGCTATCTGGCCTCTTGGATTCTCTTAGAACACACTGACCATCGCATCTCAATTTGCCCCTCTTACAATCGCATATTCCTTTCCGAATAAAGTCGATCTTTGCGCAACAGCACGAGAACATCAGGTTATCCTATTTATTATTATCATGTTATTATGGACGTCCCGAATAATTACAGAGAAACATAACGCAATAGCATAGTAAAACTTGCATTATATTTATCATTGGGAGCGGTCTCACCATCTCTGTAAATATATTTCAAGCTGGTTCCTTTGAAGGCGATGATCACCGTAGAATTCCCAGGATCAGTGAATATGTAACCCCTTAGTCCAACTTCTTCCCAGCCGAATGGAATATTCTGTTGGAAAAAATGTATTTTCCTGTTACTGTGACTGCTTAATTCAAGAGTAAGTTTAGATGCATACTTCGTAATCCACATCTTCTAAATCTACCCATTCGTACGGGCCTGATATTCCAATATATGCGTTGTAAGACATTTTAGCCAAACTAAGTATTGAATATACGTCTTTGTGATTAGGGACCGGGAATCTTCTTTCAATGTTTTTTACTCCAAATCCGTTCTCTCGTGGTTCCCCAAGAAAATTAACAACGTATTCACCGGATGGACCATTGCCAGAAAGGCTGTCTCCCCCGAAAACCAAATTCCCATCCTTTTCAATTTCTAATTTACGAAATAAAGTTTTTCCGGAACTAATAATTCCACCGTGGTGAAGAACCTGTTTTAAGGTAAAGTATTTCTTTTCGTTCAAGTCAGATGACAGAGAAAGTGGTATTTGTTGGGAGAACGCACGAAAGGAATGAGAAAGTAGCAATAATAAGAGAAAGGGAACCGGTGAAAATTGTTTCAACCAAAACTTCAACATGGTGCAAGAACAATCTGAATCTGAATAGAAGTTATTTGGAAACCACAGATCCAAATTCGATTTTTTGTATTACGATTAAGGTCGACGTAATTGAAGGACAGGCTCGCCACTAATAATGACTCTGTACTAGCCGATTATTGACAAAAACATAGGGTCTCCTTTTTTAAGCTCACATCCTAATTCAAAAGAGAATCGAGGGCCAAAAAAGGTATGAGATTCCAAATACCCAATGACAGCACAAAAGATATTGACATTGTAGATTGATTTGGAAGTATCGTCGGAGATGAGAAACTTTTTGATTGGCCGAACATCAGTTTGACATCTGCAAATGTCTTCCTCAAAATCAAAAGATAAATATGTTAAGAATAAGTCCTTATACACCCTTCCGCTTCCAATATCACTTTCTCCCACCACTTCATCAATATTTTCTTCGATACTCGCATTCTTTTCCGATTACCTAACTTCAAACAATTCCGCACAAAATCCTTTACAAAGCTCCAGCGGAAATAGAAAACCTCGAGGTACTTTTGACCCACTCTCTAACAGTGTGATTGTTAATGGTGAAGAGGATATCGAAAAGCTATGGAAACAAGGATTCTTTGGTAAAGGAAATCTGTCAAGAAGCGAACCCACTTGGTGTGGGAGAGGAAAAGGTATGTGCCGTGGTAAAAAAAAAAAAAATCGTCGCAATTTATTAATTGTACTTTAATGATGCATCGTTCGAAAAATAAGGTGAATTAACGGCCGAACAAGTTACAAGAAAGCGCAGGATGGATCGAGCAAAAAAAAAAATGAAACAGAAGAATAAAAATGAAACTGGCAACAATAAAAATGCCAAGATCACGAACGATCCTGTTGCTGATGATGCGACTACCAAGGATAATAAGGCTGATAATATTTCACCTAACATAGAAGGTACATCTCACGTTACAGGTGATGAGGATGTGAAGATACTGGCAGAAATTGGGGATATAGATGAAAATAAGATAGATCACAAAGATTTATGTGAAAAGGAAAATTATAAGGGCAAAAGATCTCCCGGTAATGATGTTGATGACAAAAACGATAATGAAGACGGTCAAGTTAAAGAACATTTGCAGCTTACCACCGAAGAAGCATTTTTTTTGTGCTTCGGCATTGGTAGTTTGGATATTTATGATTTCAACAAAGTAATAGTTAGCAGCCATCGATTACACTTGTCACCGTCATTAAAGATATCGAAACGACAAGTTTTGGTTATAATGGATGCGCGTTCATCTATTTTACTCATCTCATATATTAATACATTAGAATTTGATGACCATTCAAGAATGTTGGAATGAATTCCGAATTGCATCCATCGCTCATCACTCGACAATAAAAGATAAACAACCTTCGTCGAACGTCCAATCCGATGATCCATTGCTCACAGTAAACGGTCAATTTGATAACCCATTCGTAATAAGATACGTGGCCTTTCATTATTTTCGCAGTTTGGGATGGGTCGTTGGACGTGGAAATAAGTTTGGCACCGATTTCGGTAAGATTCTTTCACCTCCACGATGACCTCAAATCACTTTATTACTAATTGGTTATCCGCTGTTAGTGCTGTACGAAAAAGGACCTGTATTTAAACATGCCGAGTAAGCTCATTTAATTGGATGACTCATCTTCTTGGAATTGGTTACGATTTTTCGCTCACAAAGATTGACCTTGTTCTGGGAAAACAATTTATAGGTACGGTGTGGTAGTATTGCCATGTCATAACATTCGAAACGACGACAGCAATGATCTCTACTTTCGGCAAAATGTAACTTCTTCATGGCAATCGATGATGAACTTGACTAGAGTGTGCGGGCAAGTTAAAAAGGTAAAACTAAAATCATTCAACCTTAAAATTATTCATTTAACCATGAACTCCGCTTTGATATTCCCTAGTCCTTGGTATTTTGTCATGTAATAATTCCAGTATCGCGAACTTACGAAACCAGTTCAAATGATCGAAATAATAAAATTATTAGCAGCTTCGACCTTAGATTCGGCAGCGCTTTTGGTGGTAAAAGCATGGAGGGCTCCTTAAAAAATATATTAGAGGATCCGTTAGAATGTTTGCGAAATTACAAAATCAGAGAGGTGGTAATGAACAGATGTATTCCCGAGAAA